CACAGTACTCCAGGTGCGGCCTCACCAGAGCTGAGCAGAGGGGCAGAATCACCTCCCTTGACCTGCTGGCAACATCCTCCTGATGCAGGCCAGGATCCCATTGGCCTTCTTGGCCACGAGGGCACACTGCTCACTCATGGTTAACTTAGTGTCAACCATTTTAGCTTCTTTTCAAATCGTATCAGCCAGGTTTTAGCTCCTCCCACCAGCACAAACATGCATCAGTAGGACACAGACATCCAGGAGAAAGACCTCTCCCTCTGACAGATGACAAGACACTGTTTCCTCCTTAACAGGCCAAGCCTACAAGGGCAGAAGCTGTCTGAAATGCAAGAGTTGCCCCTCTCCAGGCAAAGCACTGAGCCCATCTGACTAATAACCACTCGGCACCTTCTCCTGCATGAAGATGTCCTCAACCCAAATACAACCCCATGGACACAATTTCCCCTTCAAAGGAAGTTCTAAAGGGGTTTTAGACATGGGGATGTTCAACTAAATCCAAAGTTGCAAGTTCATGATGCTGCTGTTCCTGTAACTGTTCAGGCCAGAGTACAGCAATCCCAGGGACACAAACAGGCTCCTAACCATTCTTCTCTAAACATACTGTTAAGATTTTCCTCAATTTTTTACCAACGATTTGCCATTATATTCACTTTTTGCCAATTCACCCACTTCCACTCAAGGACACAGTTTACATGTGTTTATGAAGTACCCAGCTCTCCTCAGAAGTTGCTAATGAGCAGCTTGTTCCATTAGAACTACTTAAAATAAAACTTCTCCCAGTGCCTTTTTCTTACCAACATCACTGCTTGCCAGCAGGCTGAGAGGGTCCATGTCCTTCATGCATGCCTGAGACTCTGGGACAGGCTGTTTTTCACCTTCTTGCTCACATGCTTGGTTTTCTGGTCCATTAGCTGCATCTTGATTTTTTTGTGATGGCACATTATCACTGCCACCATTTCTCTTAAACTTCTTCCAGAATTGACGTTTTTGCTTTTTCTTCTGTCTTCCTTGCTGCCCAGGCCTCTCTGCATCTGCTGGAGCTTTCCACATCCCCTTCATTTTGCTGGAAAACAGCAAAATGTATAGAAATTACAACCTATAAGCAACTGAAGCAACCAAAAGGCTGCAGCTCACACTCAAGATAGTATAGTAGTGAGCTGCCAGAAGCTACTCCAGCTCAACTACCACATGGTATCAGACCACACATGCAGTCATGGAACATCTCATTAACAGGGAAACGGGACAAAGCCGAAACCTAAAAGAGAATTTTGAAGTTCACAAGTTTCAGTTACAAACAAGAGTATGAGGACTAAGTGATTTCCTTTATCATCTTCTACAGTTTGCAATTTTACATTATAAAGCCAATATTCCCAGCACTTGAGCTATGAGGGATTCAAAACAGGGAGAGCATATCTGAAATTAAGAGGGAAGCATCTGCCATTAGCTACTTCCACTGCCGAAATCTTTCCCAGCTCCGACTCAATGAAGGATCCGGCTGCATTAAATCCATTCAGCCATCTGACACAGGCAATTGCCATGATTATCTATCCCTGACCCCAGCTAGCAAAGGCCTTTTTATCTTTTGCACTTTGACAGAAAAGGAGGAAGGAAGAAGAAATTTCTATCAAGAAACTGATTAAAATACATTTATATAAAATACATGTATGTACATATATGAAAATTATACATATCAAATATACATATATGAAAAATCCCTGAGTTACAGAATTAACATACTATGCTTTTTCTACTAATGTTTTAGCATATTCTGAGGACAGAATAGATGTTTAAGGAAGGCACCTGAACAGCCTAACAAAGTGTCCTCCAAAATCCATGGCCACCAGAGTAGGGTGTACTGGACTGGTCCGAAAGGCAAATCTAAAAGTGGCAATTTCATTCCTGAAAAAAATTTATTTTCAAGCAACAAAAGCTTCATTCAGCAAAACAAGGTTTCAAATGATCATCAGCACATTTCAGCCATAAAAGACAGGCAAAAATCCTGCAATCCTGAAGGAGTCTCTGGGTTCATTTTGCTCAGGACATTTTCTATTCATCAGTCTCATCTACAGCATGACAGAGGTCCTGCAATCCCTAGTCAAGGGCATAGTACCCTACTTAGCTAAGAGCTTCTCAAAACTTCTCCTTGCTTCTTGTATCTGTAAGCACGGCCCCAAAGGTGTATTTCTAACCTATGCATTTCAGCTCCCACTGGGAATATCAAGCCAGATATGGTGTAAGACACTAATGGTTTTGCACCCCATGATAGAGGATGTTGTAGAAACTTAAGAGAATCCCTGAAGTCTTGCAGTATGATGTTGACCTTATGAGAAAAAGGACCTTCACAGGTTTGTTTTCATTCTGATCCTTGAAATGCCCACTTAAGCCCAACCTTCTTGGTTTACAAAAAAAGGAAATAATTTTATTATAATAAAATTATTATATTCACCTCTTTCCCTTACGCAATTTTCTAGACCTCTGTTGCAGAACCTTTCCAAGACACCTCTTGGCTTGTACAGAGCCTTCCCGTTACTAAAGTTTCTCTTCCACAGCTTTCCAGTTCTATCAAATTCTTCTTGGGGTACAAGCAGGATTCAGAGCAGCTTTAAAGCCATTTAGTGGCACAACATATTGTGATTCATTGTGCAGTCCTTTCTTAATAGTTTCTAACTCTGAGTACTCAGCTCTTACAGAAGCACCTACCATAGTTCTCCTGTGGAGCAAGACACAAGTTACCACCTCCCCATGCACAAGTCTCATCCAAAAAAGCAGACAAGTGTTTTCTTGCACAATTTACCTCTCTCCAAGAGAGAGGACTTAGTTACTGTGAATTTATACAGTGTCTAACACAAAAGGGCTCTAAATTCAGCATGTTGCTGCACAGCCTATAAAATATTGAGCAAGTACAGGCTCAAGAGAAACGCTATCCTTGACTGAGAGAAAACCAGTATTCCGATTTCCAAAAAGAAACTCCAAGGGCATGAAGATATACCAACACATTCCAGCCTATCTTCTGCCTTCTGCTACTGAAGGATGTCTTCTTCATGCCCTCTCCAAAGAGGGCAGAGAGCTCTGTGCTATTAATCAGCTGTTGCAAGACACCACACAGACTGCCCGAGTGCTCCTCAGAATCTCTAATCTCATATGCAGGGATGCCGAGAATTAATAGTTGCAAAGCACTTCAGAGAACCACAAATGGAAAGTGCTGTGGAAGTGTTAAGTATCTAATCCTCTCTAAATCTCACAGAGCTATTTGCTTTAATAGTACAGCTTGCAGAGAACAAGCTCTATGCTATTTTTGCCTCATGCATCAAGTAATTTTGCCAGATAAGCACCAACTCTAGAATCTTTACTGTTGATATAAAGAGAAAAATCAGCTTTTTGGACAGTATATCAGATCTGTAGCACTGGTAGTTCAGTAAAGAGGAGCAAAAGAAGAAGAAATAATAATAAATAAAAGGCTTAAGAGTTAGAGATCACCAAATGAAAGCAAACAAGCAATAACTGAGGTGTTTTTTTCCAAACAATTTTCCAGCAGTGAAGTTACTGACACATGTAACAGATAAGGAATTGCTGACTGACATGTTCTAACTCAATTCACTAGCAAAACCACAGGAATTAAAATAATAATAATAAACCCACAATCTGTAGACAAAGAGTTTGTTTCCATAACAAGCATAACTCATCTTTGTTTATGAGAATCTCCAGACACAATCCCATATGTTCAGGGTTTTAAGTTGCAATGCCCTTGCTTTGGTTCCTTGCATCCAAAGTTCTTCTGCAACTTTATATCCCTTGCACAAGGAAAGTCTACTTCAATGTTTTATAAATCATTCCTCGATCTTCCAAAGTCATGAAAGGCAACCAGTTAGAGGAGGTGGGTAGACGTCTTTAAGGATTTACCGTGGTGAAAGGCTTCCCTCCTCCTTTTCTAATGCAGGCAAAGTTCAACTTTGCCTGCATTACAAAGTTTGACACAACAAATGTGATTTAACCAGAGCTTCTATCATACCAAATTTAGCCTACTGTTGCCTTCCAGTTCAGCTTTTCTACCTAAAGATACAATACTCTGGGGACATGGAAGATGACATCAAAATAGGTTATCTTCCTGCAATTATTCAGGTAAAGCTAATAAAGAAGTATTTGAGGGAAGAGGAGACAAGATTATACTGGAAAAATCATTTGCAATATGAGGGAGAAAACAAGTAAAAATCCCAACGGGGTAAGAATCAGGTCCAAAAGAAAGGTAGCATATAGATAAAGATGACGGAGGGCAGAGAAAAGAACAGCAGCACTAATTCATCTAGGAAAAATGAAAATAAAGCTGCATCTTCCCTCCTCAGCTGATCACTGCTCTCATTTATCATCTAAAGGATGAAGAAGCCAAATTCAGTCATAAAGTTTCTCTTGGCTCTTTTCAGGCTTTAGAGGATTAGACCATGTAGATTCATTATGCTCTGTGAATTCCATCTCCTTTATTTCTTAGTCAGAACCTAAGGTTACAATGTTCTAATGAATGGCCATTACAATTGTGCTTAAAAAGAAAAGGCATAGCACAGAATTCAGTGAGAAGAGCAAGTCTCTAATATAATTGTTTGACTAAACTGTACTACGAAGCCCTGCAAGCAAAGGAACATCTGCAATTTGTCTATGACCTGTCCCGTGTTAAAGGACAGCCACATTTAGTGTGCACAGCAAGAGCAGTAAGTGTTCAGGGACTGCAGTGAAGATGTGTCCTCCTGAACTCAGTGAAAAAGCTGCCTCAAAGCACTTACCCAAACTGTGGAGTAGTCAGCACCTCTCCCCGCTCTTCCTTCTCCATCTGCATCACCTTCTTCTTCTCAATGTTTGCCACAGTAGGAAAATTCCTACAGAAAAGAAAGAAATAAAGTAAGCCTTCTAAGAGCAGCTGCCTACACATTTTCGTTAACTCACCCTCCACCAAATCAACATCTCACATAAACACAAACTTGTTTTAATTCTTAAAGACCTTCCTTGAAGTGTAACAGGCTCCTTCCTTCTTAAAGAGACAGTTGAGCTTTTCTTTTTACCAGGAGTTTATCAGAACTCCTTCTGCTACACGTACAGGATTCCTTTACTGCAATAGCTACGGAGAACTGCACCAGTCTCCTCCTGAGCAATATTCAGCACAGGGCTTGCACACTGACCTCCATTTCACCAATATTACTGCACTTGCTTTTTTTTCTGGCTTCGGGAAAAATTGCTAAGTCATGCAGACTGAAACAAATCTACTGTTATAATGACCTCTCAAGGCATCCCTCTTCCAGTTTCCACCCTCTCACAGCTCCACATTGGTTGTGACACACGACCCTGCTGTAAACTACTGTCAAAGCGCTAAAATGGCTATGCTGGGTACTCTGTAAAGATTAATTAGCTAAATCCCAGGGCTCTGAGATAAGAGGGGTGAATGGGAAACACACATACACTAAACAAATTCTTCTGGACAGTAATGTGGCGGTTTAAGTATTTCATACCCAATAAAACAAAGCAACAAGAAACATAAAACAGCTAGTCGCTACATATAGATCTCAAAAAGGACACCCATCTATCTTTAAATGTTTAATCTTATCACATGGACCCACCTCATTTTACAGGATTGCTAAGCTTCACACTGATACATGACAGCTTCAGCCACATACCAGGCAAAAGAGACGAGAGGTACTTTCTAAGAGACACTCCTAAATACATTACAAAGCTTATCTACTTTAAGAGGACTCAAATACAAGCTGTCAAAAATCTATTTTCATTGGATTTCTCCCAGAAATTCAGACACAGAGCTTTCAAGAGAGCACAGGGATGTGATGTTTTATCTCAGCACTTCCCCATTAGCTGCATTTCTTCATCCGTGTTACAGCACTGCCAGCCAACAGTGAGCCTGGAGTGAATTATGTAATCTCAAGAGTGTCTCATTCACATACCCCCCCTGTGCTTGGCAGCTCTCCATCCTTTTAGGATGGAGTGTTTTCCTGCACATAAGTAATGTCCACAGGAGGACCATAACTATTTATTTATGGCTCTGTCAAAACAACCCTAAGCTTGTTCTAACCACTCAGTTTTTTTCTTTAGAGGACATAAAGGAAGACCCTTAATCCTGGAGCAAAAGAGCCTTCAGAGTGCTCCCGGGGTTGTGCTGATTAAGGACATATTCAGACACGCTCTCACAACACTGCTGAGGAAGGGCTGCCTCCCACTTCATTCCTGCCAGTTACCACTCCCTCCACCGAGCCCCAGCACTGGGCCTGGGCAGGCTGCACGTGACAGCACCTGTGGGATTCCGTGATCTATTTTCTCCAGGTCTCCTTAACTTAGGCAGCATTTTGCTCACTTTACCTCGTGCAGAGAATGCACCCATGTGGAAAGCACCAAGCATTTTGCTTTGTTCACAACAATTAAGTGGCTGCTGCTTTATTTTTCAGTCTAAGGATTTTTCCAGCCAGCAAGATTCAGACTTTCAGGTCTTCAGGTCTCTGTAGGAGGTAGACAAGGTCCTGCTTCCCCAGGTGCCCTGCTGGGTGACAAGGCTGGGACACCAGCAGCTCTCAGGGTGACTGGGCCAAGTCAGCCCCAGTACCCCCTGCTGGGAACAAGCAGCAAAACCACAGGCCAACGTTGCCCACTCACTTCAGTGTCCCAGGAGCTGGGCACTGGGCATCTCAGCACACACCTTAGTCATAGCAAAGTAGACTTGTTTGAAAGGTTGCATTTTGCTTTAAGAAACAGAAACTGGTTGGCAATTTCATGGCAATATTAAAAAAAAAATCAGTTCTGCATCTTCTGCTGCAGTAAATTCCATTGCTTGGACTCCTCTGTAACAGATTTTCTACACAAAAAAAACATGAGTGGTCTATCAGTGTTTGACTGGTGCATAGTTACTGAACACAGAGTGTTTCTGTATTTCTGTATAGATGCACAAATTGTGCAATTAGAAAACTCACTGACAAAACTTATTGCATCAGCTAGAGCTCCCCATAGAAGCAGCAAAATTGGAGTGATCCTTAAGTAGAGGCAGATGTCGACAGCGCAAACGTTATAGTCTTGGCCTACAACTTTATGGCAGACACATCCTGTGCAAGCTTTAGTTTCTGACAAGTCACAAAGCATTCAAGAGGGGCCAAAAGGAATGAAAGCTTTGGGTATAGAGAAGTCTCACCAAGGAAGACCACATTTAGAAGACTGCTCCTGAACACAAGTACAGCAATCTGGAGGGAAGAGGCTGTACTGACCCTCTGCAGCTAAAGGACCATGCACTAAAACTGATGACTTGATCTGGTTTTACACTCTTCTCAGAGGGTGTGCCCTCTTCACCCAATAAAGCAGGGTTCTTAATATGTTAGATGGAGGCACAAGTGAAACAGAAGAAAAGAAGTTCATCACCTACACCCTCTAAACAACCTGTCAGAGCTTAAAGACAAGCAACTTCATCAGCCACCACAGGGGGTTTACAATCTTAAGGAAAAGGGAGTTAAATCAGGAAGTGATGAACAGGGACAGATTTCATGAAGGATACAATACCGCCCAAGAAGGCTGCATCCCTAGGTTATAACTGTGACATTTTCCCTCACTGTAATCCAAGTGAGAAAACTTACAGTATAAAATGCCAGGATAACATCAGAAAACTGCACCTCAGGCTTACACAAGTACACTACATATGCCAGGCAGACACATGCAGATAAAATGATACGCAGGTAAAATAACCTCTAAGCTCTCAAAGAAAGAAAATGGAGACATTGAAAAAACCACTTACTTGCATGCCTTAGCGAAGAGACATTTTTCATCAAATGAGCTTACTAGCCCAAGTCATATATGCTTTACAGCTCAGAAGTACAAAGTATGAAGTGGACAAGGATGACCCCAACCACTGACACTATTGAGAGTCCTGAGCATCTTGTTGCTGATGAACACTAGCAAGTCACAGTAAAAGTGGCCACTTCATCTGTTTCTACCTTGATCTGCCAATACAATCAGTCTACTTTGTTTTTTTATTCCCTACTTTTACCAGGTGTTAAGAAATTATCATTTATTACTATCATTATTATTCAACTATTATTCATAGTTTATTACGATGAAAGCATCTCCAAGGAGGAAGTCAAACTACTGTAGGGATACTATTATTCAACTACAGGACCATAAATTAGCAAAAAGTACTTCTCTCAATAGTACTGGCCTTTGTTCATTAAGTAAATATTCAGTATATCAAATACTGCAAAAGCAATGCAGTAGACAGTCCTTAAGTAGACCAGAAAACAACACATTTAAAAAAGGTAGGAGGAAACAAGCATCATGCAAGATAAAGAAAATCCTCTTATGTATATCAAGACTGAGGCAAAACTAATTGCAGAATCACAGACTGGTTGAAGTTGGGGAGAAGGGACCTCTAGAGATCATCTAGTCCAACCCCCTGCTCCAGCAGGGACACCCAGAGCACAGGCCAGCATCCAGGCGGGTTTGGAAGATCTCCAGAGAAGGAGACTCCACAGCCTCCCTGGGCAGCCAGGGCTCTGTCACCCTCACAACAAAGAAGTTCCTCCTCAGAGATGGAACTGCCTGTGCTGCTGCTTCTACCCACTACCCCTTGTCCTGTCACTGGCCACCACTAAGAAGAGCCTGGCCCCTTCCTCCCTACATTCTCCCCTCAGGCATTTATACATATTAATCAGACTCCTCTCAACCTTCTCTTCTCCAGGCTAAACAGGCCCAACTCACTCGGTCTCTCCTCATACAAGAGATGCTCTAGTCCCTTAATCATCATTGTCGCTGCACACTGGACCCTCTCTACAAGTTTCTCGAAGATCTGGTTTAATGCAAGAACAGCCTTGCTGCATTCTTTCTAACAGCCTTTGCTCAAGAACAGTTGGCATATATGGGGGCTAGCAGGATTCACATTTCATTCGGAAAAAATGGAAGATAGCAAAAACACTGACATGTTACACAAATGCATCAATACATCCACTGTAAGAAACTCCCTTTCAGCTGATTATAAAAAAAATAGTGAGAACACACATAAAAATGCAATTTTAATGATTAAACTTAATGTCAGACATCTGCTTGCAAAACATACAGAAGTCCTAAGATTGTGGGACTTCTCTTCTACCACTCTCTGCTTAACTCTAGATTGTCTGGCTTTGTACATTTAGTAGGTCACAAACTATTAAGAAGTGTTTTAGATAAAGAGAGACAAAAAGGCTGCAGTGGTGAACGGGATATTGTGTGGAGTTTGAAAGAGAGCAGAACAGAGCCAGCACATTTTAAGCTAAGACACCGGTTACCTGTTCTCCCTTCTCATTTTCTTTTCCCTTCGAAAAGAAAGGCTGTACTGTAAACACTGATTCCTTCCCAATAGATTTTAGCAAGACACACAGCTGAGCAACACAGCAGCTAATTAAAAAGCAAATCTCACTGCTCTAAGTAATTATTTGTATTGGCTGAAGGAACAAGCAAGACAGAAGTGTTATGGATGCAGCATGGAAATAAACACATTAAATCACACGACCTGTTTAGAAACATATCACTGATGACCTAAAAAGATTCATTCTTAGCTCTGACTGGGCCTTCTGGAAAGAAAAAGGCTTTTCCTGTGACTATAAACCCACACTGCCTAATAGTTCAGACTCCTTCTGGTGTTCTTTTTCTCTTTACAATACAATGTTTGCTGTGAGTCAGCAGCAGACCTTCTGCACTAAACAGTGTCTTTGCTAGAGACCCATTCTTCGCCTCACAAAAGCTTCAGAGTTTTTTTTTCCCCTGTTGTTTTGCTCTCCCTCACCTCTTCACTTTTTTAAGAGCACGTTAGTATAACTTCTTGAAATGTAGAGAGTAAAAAAAGCCACCCAGATAGTCACACTCTCCCCATCAGTTACAGCTAAACAAGACACAGGTAGTTTAATAATTGAGTGGCTCTAACTCACTGCATTGCTCCACCTAGTGGACTTGGTTCACAAGATCCTAATTCCACATTGCTCTTTTTTGTGGTGGTAGTAGTGACTGCAAGATTTAATTTCCACTCACTTCCCCACGTTATAGAAAACCAAGGTTTTCAGCAGTGTTGCCCCCTGGCCAGTTATATTGATCTGCAGAAGTGAGAGCTAGCAAGAGACATTCCAAAACTCAAGGGAAAAAAAAAAAAAAAAAAAAAGAAAAAAGATCCAGCATTATCCTTACAATTAACTGCAAAAACATGCCTGCATATTCATTCAATTCATGCTTCCCTAATGCTCTAGCATGAAGTATAGAAAATGTACATACACAGCCCTATGTATTATTCAACATTATTTAAACGTTAACATCAGCCACTAGAGAGGGACAATTCCACAAATATCTCAAGCTATAAACCTCTGTATACAAAACAGAAAAGCAGTTGTCTGCAAATACTTCATATAATTGTCTTTACAGGACAGGTATTTAAGAATGTTTTTATTAATAAATGACAAGAGAGGAAAAAAGTGGTTTTGTATAAAAAAAGTTACCTTTGCACAAGAAAAGAACAAAAACAAAAAAACATTTCTCTTTTGGAGGTGGCTTCACTTACAGATATTTACTCCCTCCCACTGAAAGGGTAAAAAATTTGCTTTTAAATACAGTAGAAATCAACTAGAGGTAACAAGAAGTTCCCTCTGTCCCTTCTTAGCCTCTACTCCATTTACAAAGCTACTACGTAATGATTTCCCAAGGGAAGTCAAGTTCAAAACGAGAATGCATTGGGATTGCTTTCCAACAGAAATTCACACCAGGCTCATCGCAAGATTTCACTGAAGATAACTGGATTTACGTTTAATAATAAAGAAGACTAGTGTACTGTGAAAGTATCTAGATGTAAAGTGATCTTTCACTTAAATTTATGTTATTTTTCACTCTGCAAAAAGGTCGCTTGCTCACGGGGACCAAAGCCTTGGACTAACCACTTACAGGGTGGCCGTCTCAGTCACAAGCAGAAGTGGGAAAAAGTCTACTGTATCTTTTATCTGATGAAAAAAATCAGAAGTTTTAGCTTGTTTAACTTTGGGAACGTCAGCGTGATTAGACCTAACGAGGTACAGTGTGAATTTTTAAGTACTCCAGTACAGGTAAACATATGTAAGCTAAATATCACCTCAACATCATGAATGAGAAGCACCACTTACACATGAACTTTACCTCACGCTCCAGATAGAACATGAATTTTGACTATTTGACAAATAGTCATCCAAGTTTTGTCTGTGGCCTCTATGACTTGGATGAGTTAAATTGTGGCAATTTGTACACAGTGAGAAGAATTACAATCACAGCCAGCACAACATATTCGGATATTTGTAGCTTTTTTACTTCCTACCTAAAGTGCTCAGGCTACAAAGATGGACTAAGTCATTTGGGCCTGGGGTACCCAAACCAAAAGTTTCCCCTCATACTATATATGCCCAAATAACCTCTATGCCCTCAAAGCATCCGTCACTTGGCATTAACTAAGCACATGCTGCTGCTGTCATCTTTCAGGAACCATACAGTTGTCACATGTGGAAAATAAGAGTAGAGCAAATTCACAGGCTGCAAGTCCTACTTACCTTTTTCTTTCTTCTCTCCATCTAGCAATCTCTTCTGGAGTATCTAACTTTATTTTTTTAGCACCAGGACCATGCACCTAAGGAAGAAGCATTTCACCCACGTTAAAATAAATAAATAAATGTCACCCACCACATTAACAGAACGTTGCCTGCATGCTCAATACTGCTGAGACAGGGCATTGCCATTAGAAAGTGAACCTTTTAAGAATGTAGTAGTCACTGTATTATCATTTACATGGTTTTCTTGTACAGGTTTTCAGCTTTTAGAGTAACACAGTACTTCAGGAGAATAAAGAAGAGTTTTAGAAGTATAAGAAAAGAGACCAAACTAAAGATCGCAGAGGCTCATGGTTTGGTTTCAGCTGCGATACCTACATTCCTCCAATGTATCTGAACTAGCTTCTCATGTGCATTGAAATTGCAACCTTCTTCCACACACTGTAAGATAAAGGGAAGAGAATGAAGTTAATATTTTCTTCTACTAAATATTACTTTGGTTTGTATAAGTTACGTTCATTGCAAGTACATTAATCAATAACAAATTATTGCATAGCGCTTTCAAACACACATTTTCAAAATATATAAAAAGTAAAATGCAATAACATACTTTTAAATTTATACTTCAAATTAACAAGAAATTAACCTAAAAGTCTACTAGGGTTTGCAGTTTCAAACTGTTAACTGTCTGCAATAAAGGAAAAACTTTCAAAATATTTTTTCCACATAAACCCTCTTCACAAAAAAAAACCCCACAGATTATATATATGTATATATTATTTTACATATATATGTATGTATTGATCTACAGCACTCTAATGACTTAGCAACACTTTGCAAAGAAAAACTTTAAAATGACTTTAGCAATAAAACCCCAAATATTACTAAGAGCTCCCCTATACAGGGCATTTAGAAAACATGAACTACAGAAAATGGTAACGAATTTATTTTATAGGTGTCTCATTCAACAAGTCACTAAATCTAAATACATATCAAGTACGAAACTAAAAGTCAAAGTGTAAATAAACATAAATTAACCTGGGTATGTTGTGAAACATGTTCATCATACTTCTCCTGATTTTTATAGCCCCGGTCACAGGTATCACAATAATGGGAGAAGACTGGCTCTTTTTTCTTTTTGTTTTGCTAAAGAAAGAAAAAGAAGTAACATCTTCATACTATCAAGAGAGCAGTTACCAACGAGCAGGGCACCCTTATCCTGAACTGCGACAGGTTTTCATGAGCATTTTGATAATAACTTCATGAACCAAGATGCACTGGGAATATTTTAAAGATAAGGTGAAGTGCCACAAAGGTAAAGTCCAAGCCGTTCTGCTTCCAAGCAAGTCCCACAGTACCCAACTCTTCCTGCTACTGGGTTATTACCAGTTGTTGCTGCCATCCAAACCTAGGGCCCAGCCGGGGGGCTGCCAGGGCTCCATCCAGAGTTTATTCCCAACTGAGCTCCAGCTGCTCCCACAGGACACAGGTGCCCAGCCCAGGACCCCCCCCACACTCTAAGGAGATCTGGCCACGAAGGCATCCAGACACTGGGGCATCGCTCTCTACAACTACCCAAGAGGGGGTTGTAGTGAGATGGGGGCCAATCTGTTCTCCAAACAGGATAGGACAAGAGGAAGTGGCCTCAACTTGTGCCAGGGGAGGTTCAGGTTAGATATTTAGGAAATACTGATGGGTGGAAGGAGTGGTGAAGCAGTGGGACAGGCTGCCCAGGGAGGCGGCAGGGTCAGCACCCCGGAACGTGCTCAGGAGGCGCTCAGGTTTGGCAGGAGGGTCTGAGAGGGTTCCGCTCACGCTCGGCCCGCGAGCGGCTCCGCGCCCCTGCCCGCCCGCCCGCCGGGCTCCGCGCCTACCTTCTGCTTGTGGGTGCCGGGCGGGGGGCGCTGATAGAAGCCCGCCGCCTGCTCGCCCGCCCACTCCTGCGGGAAGCCGCCGCCTGCAGCACGGGGGGAAGAGGAAGAGCCGGTTACGCGCGGCCGGTCGCGCGCCCCGCCGCCCGCCCCAGCCCCGCTTACCGGCGCGCGGGCCCCGCGGGCGCTCG